CATCTCCATGGTCACATGATGAAATTTCAGACGCTTGGTAACTGACTCATATTTATGACGGTTGGAGTGTCCTGGGGTCATGTGATCATCTTTTGCAACCTTCTGCCAAGCAAAGTCAATGCGGAAGCCAGATTCACTTAACAACTGTATTATTAACTTAGTTGCAGTGATTCACTTAATACTTGTGCCAAGAAATGGGCAAAACTTACTTAACAACTGTCTCACTTAGCAACAGAAATTTTCGGCTCAATTGTGCTTGTAGATTAGGATTACCTGTATATAAGGTGTTTTATTGATTGGGCTGCTTAAGGACAAGGATTATCCAGAGATTCAGTATTAATATTTGGATTATTGCTAAACTTTCCCCTTTCATTAAAGCTTTACCATCATAGAACAGTCAGAACAAATTCAGCAGTGCTTAGGCCAGTGTTTCTCCTCAAAACTTTAAAACCCTACCGTATAGCCTGGGGGAGGCAGTTTTTGCCCTCCCAGAGACTCGAGGAAAGCCTCCAGATCCTGGGGAAGGCGAAAACGCCTCATCCACCATGGTGCAGGAGGCACGCCCAACCAGCAACCAAGCAAAGAACCTATGGCTGAAATTTTTGAAGCCCACCCCTGTATTAAAGTCTTGACTTCTTTTGCTCTCAGCATCCTTCGTAGTTCTAAACAGAAAAGAAAGTTCTGTTTCTCAGTTTGTCATGGCATTAAATGTCAAGAAAGATGATTGATAGCTCAGCGTTTGCCATATTTGAGCAGGAATGTACTAAGGCTGGATGGCGAAGTTGCCTAGTGGATTTATTTATTTATTTATTAGACTTATATACCGCTTCATAGGATCCACAAGGCACAGCAATTTCCTCAAAGGTCTTCCCTCTTTTTTATAATGATCTCCCTAATCAGAGCGGCTATATCCTGCTTGATGTTTTCTATGGGTTCTTCAGGCTTCAGGTATTTCAAGACTTTACCTTCAGGGCTGATGAGATATTTCCAGAAATTCCACTTAGGTTCCGTTTTAGAAGTATCTGCAGGAATAACATAAGATGAAGCACTTTTAGGTCACAGACAGCAGGGATGTGATTTGGAAAAATGTAGGCACTCAGTTGGGATCCTGCTTTAATCAATATTAACAGAGTTTATGCATTTTATTTTCTCATTCTTTTTATAGACTGATTTCAAACTATCAGCTTGCACAGGTAGTCCTTGATCTATGACCACCATTGAGCCCAAGATTTCTGTTGCTAAGCAAGACAGTTAAGTGAGTCCCCCCCAATTTTACGACCTTTTTTGCCACCGTTATTAAATGAATCATTGTAGTTGTCAGGCCTGCAGCCATCTTTCTTTTGGATCTTTGGCCTGCCACACTTTCTATTATTCTACTACCGTGTTTCCCTCAAAATACGACCTGTCCTGAAACTAACACCTTGCCACATTTTTCGCATTGGCAAAAATATAAGCCTACCCCTGAAAATAAGCCCCCTGGACAAGCAGAGAGGGGCTCTGCTCACCGACCTAGCGGTATCCCGAAGACGGCAAGCTGCGGGAGCCAGGTCTGGTGGGGGGGCAGAAAGGCGCTCACGTTGCTTGGCGCTTTTGGGATACCACTAGGTTGGGGTGTGGCATTCTGCCTGGCTGGAGGGGGGAGTTGCTGGGCGGCTGCTCCCTTGTGAGTGGGCTCCCGAAGAGCTGGGCACAACCTCAGGGGCGAAGCAGCCATGAGGTGACCACGCTCAGGAGCAGCCGCCTGGCAACCCCCCTCTCCAGCCGGGCAGAGCGCCATTCACTGACCTAGGGAGTATCCCTAAGGTGCCAAGCCACATGGCGTTCTGCCCGCTCCCCAGGTCCTGCGAGCATATTAGGGATACCCCCTAGATCAGTGCATGGAGCTCTGCCCGGCTGGAGAGGGGGGGGTTGCACGAGCGCCTAACCGCTCCCAGCAAGCATGCCTCCCAGCCTAAACATGCCCTGGCCCAGCCGCTGCCGCCGTCACACTCCGAGCATAATTTCTTCTCCGGTTTACAAACTCCAAAACTCGGCTGCCGAATCTTCCAGCAGCGGCTGCTCTAGGAGTGCGCTGTATGGTTGTGGGCCGGCTGCTGGACAGAGAATTTTCCGGACAGAGAGTCTTCCAGCAGCCAGCCCACACCATAGAGCGCACTCCTAGAGCAGCCGCTGCTGGAAGACTCGGCAGCTGAGTTTTGGAGTTTGGAAGCCGGAGAAGAAGTTATTCTTGGAGCGCGGCGGCAGCAGCTGGGCCAGGGTATGGTGAGGCTGGGAGGCATGCTTGCTGCGGGCAGAACAGGTGCTCGCGCAACCCCCTTCTCCAGCCGGGCAGAGCTCCATGCACTGACCTAGGGGTATCCCAAATGTGCCAAGTGGGAGCTGGGGAGCGGGCAGAGCACCACGTGCCTTGGCTGTGTCCGGCTCTTTGGGAGCCCGCTCGCAAGGGTGCAGCTGCCCGGCAACCCCAAAACAATAAGCCCCCCCCTATAATAAGACCAAGGCCATATTTCGTGAGGCAAAAGAAAATAAGACCGTGTCTTATTTTGGGGGAAACACGGTATGTATTTTCTATTGTGGAAAAATGGGAGGGGGGATTGTACGGTGTTACTTAATGTGTAGCCAAAACAAAAATTCTTTCTAGAAAGCCAAGGTCATCCTTTGTCTCTGCACCTGACCAGAACTGGATGGGTGAAACTGCCAGCATGGCAGTGGGAGATTGGACCATGTCATGGATTTGTGGGTGTGGGGAAGTTCTTGAATTTTCAACTAGATGGGGAAAATCTGGAAGCTTTCAGATTCGGGTTTTCACAGATACGCCAACATGGCTTTCTTAATAAATTGGAACTTTGACCAATACTTTGCCTTGGACTCTGATTTACTTTTGGACGCTATTTGGAACCCTGACAGTAGTTTTTAAGTTAGTAACACGATTGTTAGGTGAATCTGGCTTCCCCATTGACTTTGCTGATTAGAAGGTCACAAAAGGGGGTCATATGGCTGGGACATTGCAACCATCATAAATACATGCCAGTATCTGAATGTTGAACACATGACCATGAGGATGCTGCAGTGGTCGTAAGTGTGAAAAAGATCATAAGTCACTTTTTCAGTGCCATTGTAACTTCAAATGGTTACTAAATGAATGCTTGTAAGTCTGTAATTAAAAATTGATTTCAGAACAATATGTGAACTCAGTGCCAACTACTCATATTCAGATCTGATCACTTTTTCAGGTTTCCCTTCCTCTGTGAGACTTATCATAACCTGTCAATTTCCATGTTATTTCTAGTGACGGTTCCATTATTCTATTTCCTTAGCACTGTTTTCTCCTTGCATCTTGATTTCCCTATCTTCCCCTGCCTACCTCCAATAACTATGCTTTTCTTCCTCTGTAAAAATTAAAAAACTCTATCAAAAAAACCCCAACAGCTTGTCCTAAGTTGTATGATATTATGCGTCTTGACCAATCCAGAAGCTTCAACAATTCCAAAGTATTCCCAAAAGTAATAATCAATATAAATAATTACTGTCAGATTCTGTACTCCTAATGATTAGCTCAGTTTAGTAGAATTATTCTATTCATAATATAAAGTATGGGATAAGACACACAATCCTCTTTGTTAATAAATAATCAAAGACTAACTGGATAAGAAAAAATTCTGGAAATTTTTCAGAATAAGAATAGAATAGAATTCTTTATTAGCCAAGTGTGATTGGACACACAAGGAATTTGTCTTTGATGCATATGCTCTCAGTATACATAAAATAAAAGATACATTCGTCACGAATCATAAGGTACAACACTTAATGATAGTCAAAGAAGCAATCAACTCATACTAGGAAACAATCAATATGAATCATAAGGATACAAGCAACAAGTTACAGTCATAAAGTCATAAGTGGGAGGAGTTGGGTGATAGGAACCATGAGAAGATTAATAGTAATAGTAGTGCTGGGTAAACTGCTACGTTTCTTCTTTCTACTATTAAAAAAAACAGTGGCTGTTATAAAAAAAAATTGAAATGCCTCTAGAGTTAATTTGATATTTGTGTGCTCTTTTTCCAGAAATGAAGCCAGAATTGTTGAGCAGTGAAATTACAAGCAGAAGACAATAGAAGATGTAATCAAACTTAGGGGTAGGGGCCTGTGTTGTCCAAGCAATTTTATTGTGATTTTTTTTTTTTAAAGTTTGCCTTGATTTATTTCTAGAGCTGGGAATGACTGGCCCAAAATCATCTGTTCAGCTTCATGGCTTAGACCAGTGATGGCTAACCTTTTCTTGACTGAGTGCTCAAAACGCACACGCATCCGAACCTGCAAAATGCAATGCACGCGTGGTCCCCATGCATGCATGCATTCCCCCCACATGCTCCCCCCACATGGACGCGCCCACGCACGTCCCATGTGCCCCATTACCCCCCCACCAGCTGGCTGGTAGGAGGTATGCGTACAAGCACAGCAAAACTGAACTGGGGTGGTGGCGCACATGCCCACAGAGAGAGCACTGCGTGCCACCTGTGGCACGCACGCCATAGGTTCGCCATAACAGGCTTAGGCCATACTAGAACTCATAGTCTCCTGGTTTATAACATGGTGCCTTTAATACTGCACCAACCTGGCTCTTTAATTTGGTTTATGTGAACACTATTTCCTATAATTCTTCATACCTTTCAATCAACTTTCAGGAATCAAGCCATTCTTGTTTCTACCACATCTGTATATTGCTTCATACAGTACAAATGTATGAAGTTTTATTCTTTAAACTTCTTACGTCTTTCTTTTTGAGAATCTCATCAACTCCATTCAACTGTGACTTTCCCAGTCTTTGCCTTCCTCTTGACTCATTCGCTCTACCTTCATAATAGATTTTCAGTTTGATCCTGTTACACCTATACATGTCAGAACAGTTCCAGTGTACCTGGCACTGCCAGCCTAGGAAAGGCTTGGGTATACACACAGATTCTTTGCATCGGTGAGTGCAAGCCATCTGGTTTCTTTTAAAAAATAAAAGAATTCCAAAAAGATTCTTAGAGTGCACAAGAATAAACACTGGGTATATAAGCACTTCTTGTTATCCATGCACAGATCCTCCTTGTTTTTCTTGGTATCAATTTTAAATGCAAAAGCTTCATTTTGGAATAATAATAATAATAATAATAATAATAATAATAATAATAATAATAATAATAATAATAATAATAATAATAATAATAAAGCGGACTTCTGTAAGGTGCATAAATTAGGCAAATCAATCTTTTCATTCAGACAGATAAGGTTCACTATTTTGTAGTGGGCTGTTTAGTGATACGCCTGTGCCTTCAAGGCAGTTTTTGACTCCTGGAGACTTACTAGACTAGTCTCTACAGTTTTCTTGGCAAGATTTTGTAGACCAATTTGCCATTGCCCTCCTTCTAGGGTTGAGCAAAAATAACTGGCCCAATGCTATCCAGCATGCCTAAGACTAGAACTCGCAGCCTCCCAGTTTCTAGCTGATGCCTTAACCACTACTAAACCACATTGGCTGTCAGAGATTAGTCGTAGGAGAAGGCAAAGAACTGCACAACGTAAATAAATATATTCTAGTTCAAACTGCAGATATAGAATATTTGAAGAGATTTAGGTAGTAGAAACAGTTTTTTAAATAGAAACTGGAAATCCAACGAATCTGAAGCCTGTATATGTTTCTGCCTAAAAGTAACACTGCACTAAAAGACATAACATGCAGCTTAAGAGAGACATACGCTTACCTATTAGAAATTTAAAAGCTGGCGATGCTTCAGAACCTAGGACTTTTATTTTACTGAAGATGGGGAATGTCACTCCATAATTCGATTTAGCAAAATAAATGATCTCGTCGTTCAGACCTGGCTCCATTTGCCCAAACTGATTGCAAGGAAAGGCCAGCACAGTGAAATGGGATGATCCAAACTCTCGCTGGAGTTCCTGCAGCATGATGTAATTTTTTTCTGTGTGCGGACAGTAACTAGCCACGTTTACAACCAGGGCTGCCTTGAGACAAAATAGAAAATTAGAAAAGAAGTTAAAAAAGAACGCTGATCAGATCGCTGCTGATAAATATCTTCCTATCTCATTTATCTTGGTTATTTATCATTTATCAATGCAGAAACGTCTAGTGTTCAGATCAGTTTTACTATTTGAAAAATAGACAGAATTTAAATCATTAAGTTAGAGAAAACCATACAATTCAGACAAAGCAAAGCACTTTTTAGGTCACATTAGTTTATGTGAAGGGAGATGTGGTGGCTCAGTGGCTAAGACATTGAGTTTATCGATCAGAAAGGTAATCAGTTCGGCGGTTTGAATCCCTAGTGAGCTCCCATTACTTGTCCCAGCTTCTGCCAACCTAGCAGTTCAAAAGCACATAAAAAAATGCAAGTAGAAAAAAATAGAGACCACTTTGGTGGGAAGGTAACAGTGTTCCATGCTCCTTTGGGGTTTAGTCATGCCGGCCACATTACCACAGAGAGGTCTTTGAAAGGTACTGGCTTTTTGGCTTTGAAACAGAGATAAGCACCTCCCCCTGGAGTCGGGAACGACTAGAACATATATGCAAGGGGAACCTTTACCTTTTTAGTTTATGTGAATTTATGAAACAACTTTCTCCCACTGAAATAAAAGTTTTCCTTGCAAACTTACAAGCATTAAGAACAATCTAACTTCAATTGTTCAAATGAATGTATACATTTAAGCACCAAATTCAAAAATTCAACAGTGGTTCACTGACCAAAACACACACCTACTGACTATGCTTTCATTTGCAGTCTTTATAATGAAATAAAGAACAATATGAGAAAGTCCATTTTTGCAGGGGATTCTCCTGGTCCCTAAAATCAGATAGTGGAAAAAATGAAGTACTGAACTTTTCAGTTGATCTCAGCAAGTATTACATTTTAACTTCAGTATCTTAGATTTCCCTTTCCAAATATTCCTAACGTGCTACTATTGCGCAGAAAAAATACAGCAGCCAGACTGCCTAACCATTTTTTTTTTAAAAAAAATGAAATTACTTACTTTGCCTCGGAATCTCTCCAAGGACATGGTTCTTCCTTTCCAATCCTCCACTTCAAAGGAATAAAAGTCTTTTTTTCTGGGTTTTAAGAACTTGAGCTGCAGCAGGGCCAGCAAGGCTGTGCATAACACCATAGAAATGAAAATAATGAAAACCTTGTTTTTCAGCTTTGAGCTTTTTAGCGTAAGCGTTGCTAGGGGCAGAGACGGCTCCATTTTGGAGAATTTTTTAGGGGAAATTTCAGCAGGCCTGGAATGTGAGGAGGAGCTGAAGCCCAGCCACAGAAGGCTGGGTTTGGAAGAAAGCTGAGGTAGGGAGGGAGGGAGAGAGAGAGCAGACTGTATTGTCTGGCTGAATTTTTCATTTTGTTTTGCTGTTCAAATCTGATTGTATAAGAGGCTCTTAAAGTTGGGATGCTATTTGTAAAGTATCTACACCAGAGTTTCTCAATCTTGGCAACTTTAAGATGGGTGGACTTCGACTCCCAGGGATGGCTGGCTGGGGAATTTTGGAACTTGGTCCACCCATCTTAAAGTTGCCAAGATTGAGAAACTCTGGTGTAGATACTTTACAAATAGCATCCCAACTTTAAGAGCCTCTTATACAATCAGATTTGAACAGCAAAACAAAATGAAAAATTCAG